ACGCGACTTGCTCTACTCACACGGGCCCGCCGCAGCAGCATCCATCCCATCCCGCGCTCCGGAAACTCGAAAAGAGTCCACTTGTCAATGGCGATCGTCGCTGTCAGTCGTCACCGCGCGGTCGTTGTCATCGAAATCGTCATCGAGACCGCCGTCGTCCTCGTCCCGTTCCGCTCGGTACCGCCGCGTAACTGCACGCCCCGCTTCCGCCTCATTCCAGGCAGCACGCAGCACGCGACAGATCTGGATGCTCGCTCGTTCTACGTTCGCTACCGCACCAGGACCACCACCACCTCCACCACCACCACCACCACCGCCGCCACCACCACCAGCACCAGCACCAGCACCGCCGGTTACCTTCGCCACCACCACGCGCCACAGCTTTTTCTGCTCTCTCCTTCTTTCTCTCTTTCCACTCTCACGAACTGATAAGCCTCTTCTTCTACCTCTTCTTCCTCCTCTTCGTTAAGAACTTCTTATCCTCTCACTCTCACTTGATATTCCTTTTCTTCGCCCTTCTCTTAGGCTCTCCTGCCTCGATTTCTTCTACTCGTCCGTCTCTTCCTCGTTCCTCTTCGTTCCGCTCTTCTCGCGTGAGCCTCGTCCCTTCGGCTCTCCTCCCTTCGGCCGCGAATCGTCCTCCGGCTCGCCCGGTCTATCTATCCCAGAGCTCGCGTTCTACTCTCTCGTGTTCGCTCCGCGCGATCGGAATAGAAGAGCGACGAGGGGCTGCTGCTCATCGGCGGGAAGAAAAGGACGGCCGGTGACAAAGGCCACGAAGGACGTGCACGAACACCTGCGAACTCGAGAAGATGAATCGCGCGGAAATCGCCTCTTGCACGCGTGCCCGCATTAGGATTTCTCTCCGCCATTTCTTTCTACTCTCGCTCTTTCTCATTCAGTCCCTCTTCTGTCGCCACCTCCTTCCGCATGCAGCTTCTTTCAGCGAGACGGTTTTTGACGTTTTTTTTTACACGACCGGCATACGGCACGATCAGATTCTGCTGCTATTGCTATCGCTAGTCGTGTACGGATCGCGACGTCTCGTTTCCTTCGGCTGAGTCTTCTTTTTCCTATTCTCTCTTATTTGGAATCGAAAGTCGCCTGGGTCAAACGGTACGCTGGATGCTTCTACGAACAGAAAGCAGATCGTCTCGCGGTTAGATCGAGTTTGTGTAATCATGACGGTTAAGCTCCTTGCGTGCTTCAAGTTTTTGCACGAATGAATGAGCTTCTAATATTAAGTGAATGCGTAATCGATTTAATTATGCTCCGAGTGGCCGTTGGTAATTATCGGTCCCTCGAGTTGTACGCAGTCGGAAGACAGCGGTTCAGTTTTATTATCATAGAATTATATTTTGAGCGAGCAAGTCGGAGGAGGAGAAAGATTTGCAGATAAATTATACGGTTTATTTTATAGAGAGCAATTCTAATTTCCACCTGATTTCCAGTCTTAGCAGCTCTCTATATTTGTTTTCCATATTTGCTTTATATATTAAATCAATTTTATGCCTAAATCATTAAGAATTTATTTATACGTAAATATTTTATTCCGTTAATTATTATTCTTACTACTTAAGAGTGCTTGATTGTTTCTAAATATTGCAAATTGTATGTAACGTATACAGGG